TCCTCAGGAGCCACCCCACCCTATCCCCTCCCAGGGGATGACAAGGGAGAGAGTTGGCGGCAGTTCCCTGGGCATATTTATAACCTGCTGCTCGCTCACCAGCGTCTGCTTTTAGCCCAGACGGGGGAGGGGGCAGAGGGGTGGTCTGTCTCATGCTGGGCGCCCTGGCTGGGTGTGGAAAGAGTGAGTAAGGGTGAGTGGTGGGCAGCTCTGCATGGATATTCCTGCTCACACCACAGCCAAACAGCTTATTTTCTCCTCATTTTGTTATTTTTCTCCCTCTGGCCCGGAGAGGAGGACTGAACCAGCCTGAGGTGGGGGGGTTGTGTGCTAGACCCTGGGGTATTTGCAGCCCCACTGACAGGGTTTTTCCAGGGTGCGTGTGGCAGGGTGTGTGTGGTGCCAGCTTGCTGACCCCCTGGGGACTGTGCGGGCCTGCCATCTCAGTCCTCTCAGGTTTTCCTCTCCCCCTCCCCCTGGATATTTCAAGACCAGCACCTCCCTCACTTGCTGAGGCCAACCATGTGTCCGGGGTCCCTGGCAGCCTCAGATTCCCCTGGGTGTGTGGCATCTGGCACCTGAAGGTCAGAGGTGGGTGGGAGGCTAGCCTGGGTGGATAGGCAGGGCTGAGGCATCAGGCCCATTCCTGATAGTACTGTCTTATGGCAACCTCCCTGAGCTGCTCTGGGCCCCGAGACCTGAGTGAGGCCTCTCTCCAGGCACAGCTGGTTTTCTCCCTGGGATTTATCTGCTCTAGTTCTGCGTGAGGATGGCTCAGATGATAATAATCACAAAATAATTAGCTCCCATGCAGTGCTTTGCAGACCCTCCAGCCCTTTCGCTTGCTTTCCCCCTTTTATCCATGCATGCCCCCTTGAGGGCCAGTCCTCATTCTGCACGTCCCTACCTACCCTTCAAAGTCCTAGCCCCCCCGGAAGCAAAGGGCCTCTGTGCTGAGAACTTGAGTGTGGGAGTGTGTCCTTAAACCTCACGCATGTGCAGAGGGTGCTGCACTTCCCTGAGCTTTCACCGTTCTCCCCCCATTACACTGACAATATGTGTTGGTGTGCTTGACTCCCCAGCCGGACTGTAAACTCCTCCAGGCAGGCACTATGGCTGTATCCCCAGCATCAGGCATATGCCTGGCACAGAAGAGGTTTCAGCAAGTGTTCAAATGACCCAAGCATTCAGGTACATGATCGCCTCTGAACCTCATCACCTTCCTCAAGAAGACTAAGTACCCATAACCTTCCCTGTTTAACAGGCAAGGCAACAGAGGCTGGGAAAACAAAAGAATTGTTGAAAAGCTATTTCAGGCCAGAACAGGATTCATTGCTTTCTCTTGCTCTTCTTCCAGCTCCTATGTGTCAGCTCAGCCCAGGCCTCCCAGCATCTGGGCCTGAAGCAAATACTGATCTAGCTATTGGGGTCAGGAGTTAGGTGAGAATGGATGGGGCCAGCTGCCAACCCTTCTACTCCCCAACCTGCTGCTTCTCCCCAGTTCTGGGCATTGTCCAGCAGGAGCATAAGCCCCCTCTCTTGCCTTCTGCAGCCCAATAACTTCTTGCTTTAGGAGCTGGGGGATCTAATAGCTCATTGGATTATAGACTGGGCATTCTCTGCAGGGGATTCTTTACTGGAAACCCAAGGCACGTCAGGTGCTTCCTACCCCAGATCAATATTTGCATTCCTCCCCCCTGGCTGCCCATAAGAACTGAGCTGGTGCTAGCTTGGCAGATGGAGAGAAAGGGAAAGGGATGGCATTGCAGCGTTGAACAGCTCCTGCTTCACTCCTCTACCCCCACACAACCCAAAGGCCAAAGGGGGTCAGAGTTCACACATCCAGGGAGAGGTGGGAGGCGGCAACAACCGCAAAAGAGTCCGGGGGAGAGGGGGAAATTCTCCATTGGGCTGGAATCTGTTGTTGCCCTTGGGAGGTGGAGTGCTTCATAGTTCCCCCTGCCTTTGGGTCCCCCCTGGGGGGAAGTGTTAGGATTAGGGACAGGCATTAGAGTTTAGGAAGGGGTTAATGTTTGAAGTTAGGGTTAAGGCTAAGGTTACACTTAGACCTAGGGATGAGGAGAGGATTAGAGTTAGAGATAGGTTTAGGGCTGTGGGCAGGATTAGTACTTCCGCCAACTCGTGAATGCACACACAGAGGTGTCCATGTTGTTAGTAACGGATTCCTCAACGGGCTCTTTATGGGAATGGCTAGCTTCATGGTTTGGTTATGGGCCACACTTGGATTTCCTTTTGGTTACATTGGTTTAAGTCCCCACTGCCCACCCCGCAGCTGAAGCAGACAAGCTTCAGGAACCAGTAGCTCCACTCCAGGGGCAGCAGCACCCTTTCTTGGGTGTCTCTCTCTTTGGTTTCTTTTCAGACTGCAGTCATGGCTATCACTCAATTGTAGCTATTTTCGCACCGACTCTTCCAGATAGGAAAGGCAGGCTCAGAGATTGTTTAATCCCCATTCAGCAAGGGAAGAAACTGAGGCAGCCATGAGCTTGTCCAATATCACACAGCCAGTTGGTGTTTGAATAAGAAAAAGAAACTTGCAGGGACTTTGGGCTTCTGGCCAGGTTTTTCTGGAGACCTGGATCCCCAGTGGCTTCATTAGGATCAACCCAGGGTCAGAAACTTAGGATCCTCTTGCAGGGCCAGGAAACCAGTCCCCCAACTATGCATCTTATTTGTTTAAGAGAGGTAAACAATGGTGTGTTCTGGATTCAAGAAAAGCCACCAAGTCATTGATAAAAATAGAGATTTTTATTCTGCAGAGGAAGATACTACATTGGTGGGGGCGAGGAGCCACTAATAGCTACAGTGGAAGGAAATACTGATTCCGGTAGGCAAAGGCATCTTTGAAATATTGGGCAGAGGAGAAGAGGGATCAGAAAAGGCTGGAGGGCAAAAGAAGAGAAGAATGAAGAGGGGTTGGGTTGGGGTGGAAGTGGTCTCTGCAAACCAGGCTGGAACCCAGCACAATAAATAGTTTTATTTACAACAACCAAACTCGTGGCTTTGTATCCACGTTTCAGTGCAAATTATTTACACACTGATGAAGAGGCAGGACAGGAAAGGGTAGGAGGTGGCTGAGGGAGGCATGGCTCACAGCTGTTCAATGGCTCCACGACAGAGGCTGGGAGAATGGGGGTATTTCTGCTGGGTTCCCCCAACCTCATTTTCCACATCACCACAGCTGCACTGCCCTTTCACCCTGGCACCTCCCGCTTCAGCTGTAGGTGGGAAGGAGAAAGCCCCAGATGCCCAGGTGTGTTCAGGGTCTGCACCCTTGGCAGGGGCATCTGGGGACCTGGAGAAAACGGAGTTAAAAGGGGAGGGAGAGAGGCAGGGAGATCAACGGCGCGGTGTCAGAGGCAGAGCAACACCATCTGGAGCTGACCCGCCGAGGGGAAGGGGAAGAATCCTTCTCTCACCTCCTGGCCAAGCAGGGGGCAGTGCAATGGGGTCTCCCGCGGAGAGGGAGGGAGGTAGGTCGGGGCAGGTCCATCAGGATGGCAGGAGGGTCCTGCCGCCCCAGGCAAGTGGTTTCAGGAGTCCCCAGGTAGGAGGAGGTGGGAGAAACGATCGGACACGTGTGAATGGCGGGGAGTGTGGCTGGGGACAGACCGGGGGAGCGCATATCAGGGCCTTAGGTGCCAGCGAATCTGTT